CATCATCATCATCATCATCATCATCATCATCATCATCATCATCATCATCATCATCATCATTCTCATCCTCATCCTCATCCTCATCCTCATCCTCATCCTCATCCTCATCATCATCATCAGCAGCATCATCATCACCACCACCACCACCACCATCATCATCAGCAGCAGCAGCAACAGCAACATCAGCATCTTCATCAGCATCAGCATCAGCATCAGCATCATCAGCATCATCATCATCATCATCATCAGCATCATCATCCGCGTCGTCATCATCATCATCATCATCATCATCATCATCATCATCATCATCCCTCTGTCCTCCTCCTCTCTCTTTCTGCCAGCCGCCTCCTTCTCCCCCCTTCCCCACTCTTCTCCACCTCTTCCTCCTCCTCCTCCTCCTCCTGCTCCTGTTCCTCCTCCTCCCCCTCCCCTCCTCCTCATCATCATCAGCATCATCCGCATCATCATCATCACCATCATCATCATCATCAGCATAATCATCATCATCATCATCATCATCATCATCATCATCATCATCAGCATCATCATCATCAGCATCATCATCAGCATCAGCATCAGCATCATCATCATCATCATCATCCTCATCCTCATCATCATCATCATCATCATCATCATCATCATCATCATCATCATCATCATCATGCCTCTTTCCCCCTCCTCCCCCATCCTTCTTCCCCCCCTCCTTCCTCCTCCCTCCTTCCTCCTCCTCCTCCTCCTGCTCCTCCTCCTCCTCCGCCTTCTCCAATCCTTTTCTTGTCGCACCCCGAGGCCAGTTTTTAGGGCGGACCAGGCGTTTCGCCTGAGAGTTCCCCACCAGTTCTGACTCTGAAGCTTCAAACATACCAACAGCTTTACAGATGGAGGGCGGGTCGTTTTCAAAATGTTGCTCTCTTCTTAGCGCCGCGCATGTTCGTTGTAAAAATGTGCAAGAGCTTCACGGATTGGGAGCGGGTCGTTTCAAAATGTGGCTCTCGCCTTAGCGCCGCGCACATTCTTTTCAACAAGTTGCAAGAGCCTGACGGATTGAGGGCGGGTCGTTTTCAAAATGTGGCGCTCGCCTTAGAGCCGCGCACAGTGGTTTCAACAAATTGCAAGATCTTCACGGATTGAGGGCGTCTCGTCTTGCGCCGCGCACATTCATTTGAAAAGAATGCAAGAGCTTCACGGATTGAGGGCGGATCGTTTTCAAAATGTGGCTCTCGCCTTAGTGCCGCGCACATTCATTTGAAAAAATTCAAACGCTTCACGGATTGAGGGTGGATCGTTTTCAAATGTGGCTCTCGCCTTAGCGCCGCGCACATTGGGGTTTCTAATATACATGTGTGTATAGAATGCAAGAATTCCACGGCTTCCCATGATCAACGTACCAGAAAAAGTGTTTTGGAAGGATTCGGGATTATGCGGGCGCCACATGTATGTTGATTCGCGGTGTTGAAGTCCCAACAATGGCGCTCTGGCACGATTCCAGATCCTCAGAACGCAGCAGTCCGGTTGATTCGTGGCGTGAAAATCCCGAGAACAATGTTTTGGCATGCTTCAAGGTCTTCAAACAGTTGTCTTCCAACGAGGTAACTTTCCTCAGCGGAAATGAACCGTTGTAGGGGCTTGTGAAGAGGGAGCTTGGAGGGAGGGTTGATTCCAACATCGTTGATGACTCTTGGGTTTACACTGGTCCTCAGCTTCCTCCTCCTCCTTCTCCTCCTCCTCCTCCTTTCCTCCTCCTCCTCCTCCTCCTCCTCCGCTTCCTCCTCCTCCTCCTCTTTTCCTCCTCCTCCTCCGCTTCCTCCTCCTTCTCCTCCTCCTCCTGCTCCTCCTCCTGTCCTCCTCCTCCTCCTCCTCCTCCTCCCCTCCTCCTCCTCCTCCTCCTCTCCTCCTCCTCCTCCTCCTCCTCCTCCTCCTCCTTCCCTCCCTCCCTCCCTCCCTCCCTCCCTCCCTCCCTCCCTCCCTCCCTCCCTCCTCCTCCTCCCTCCTCCCTCCTCCCTCCCTCCTCGGCCCACGGAGGCCTACCGAGGGCCCGAACCCTCCGCCGCAGCTCTCTTCGCACCACGGCTCGAGCCCCCCCCCCGCCACGCGGGCTGCGGGCGGCGGCCTGGAGCGCGACCGGGCGCGGGGCTCCGCGCCCCGCCCGTCGCCGCCTCTCCCGCGTGGGCCCGCGAGGGAGGCCGCGGGCATGCAGGTCGAGGCTGCTGCTTCTCAAGAGGGAAGAGGGAACAGGAGGAAGAGGAAGAGGAAGAGGAAGAGGAAGAGGAAGAAGAAGAAGAGGAAGAAGAGGAAGAAGAGGAAGAAGAGGAATAAGAAGAAGAAGATCAGATATCCGCCGGCCCCCTCCGGGAGCGCAAGGCTGCGAAAGTGTGTGCGGTCTGCTGTCATGTGTTATGTGTTGTCATTCATTGTTTCGCCTTTTGTCTCTCCAGTCCTGTTTCCTGCTTCCTGTTTATTATCTGCTAAGGGGCCCCGCCACACCACCAAACAGCCTACGGGGGGGTGAACCTCAAATCCAGGCTGCTTCGGGCAACCCCAAAATTCTCATGGTGACGCCACTGCGCGGCCAGAGCGGCCGGAGAGGCCTCCAAGATTGCCCGACGAGGCTCCGAAGAGAGCCTCAGGAGGCCAAGACGGCCCAAGATGGCCCCAAGATGTCCCACGATGGCCCCAAGACGGCCCAAGATGCTCCCAGGACGGCCCAAGAGGCCTCCAAGAGGCCTCCCAAGTGGGCCCCACGAAGCAAAAAATCAACGATGCTCCTAACGTTTTTGAAGGTTTCTGGCCTTCTCTCGCCTTTTCGGCTTTCCGACGCTCCGAGACGGACCAAGAAGGTTCCCAAGATCGCCCCACGACGGCCCTAGAAGCCGCCATGACGGCCCAAGAGGCCCGCAAGACGGCCCCAAGACGGCCGAAGAGGGCCCCAAGACGGTCCAAGAGGCGCTCCAGATGGCCTAAAAGGGCCCTAAGACGGTCCCAAAAGAGGCCCAAGAGGGAGTCCACGGACCGAAAACTCAACCTTTCCGCCCCGAGGGGGCCCCAGGAGGCCCCAAGAAGGTCCCCAGAGGCCCCACGAGGCCCCCGAGAGGCTCCTAAGAGGCCCCAAGGAGACCCACAAGAGATCACAAATACTGTTTAAGAGGCCCCAAGGAGAACCCCGCACAGCCGCCCGCACTAGTAATACTGGGACCGGCGGAAGAAGGCGAAGCCCTGAAGGTAATACCAAATAGAAGAACAGTACTACGTGAGATGCAACATGGGAAACCGTGAGATGCAAAAGACGGAGAAAAAGGAAGACATTAAGACATTTATGAAGAAGACGATTCATGACAAGAGGCAACTGCATAGGCAAAAACTGTCGGAGGCCCGCGCAGATTTCTCGGATCGGCGCTGACCCCCTGGCGACGCCTCCGGCGCCGCCCATTCCTCGCTCCGCGTGCTGGGCAGGGGGCTCCAGCGCCGATCCAGGAAATCCGCGCATCCGAAGGCTTGCTCGCGTCACTGTGTTTCAGTGATCCCTTCTCCTGCCTTCGAAGTCGGTCAGGAAGATCTGAGCGCCAGCTCTTGACATGCCACTCTGGCGGGGTGGAGCTCCTCAAGCGGCCTCTCTAGGGGTGGGGCTCCTCAAGCGCCTTTCCCCCGAAGAGGCGCAAGGCTGGTTTGCCCATAACGCGCGCGAACCTTCAAACAAATTGCCCACAACCTGGCGGATTTTTCTCCTGGAAAGGAGTGGAGATAAGTACTTCGCAGCGGATGCCTCCTTTCGCGCCTGGCAAGCGCCTCACGGTCCTGCTACTTGACCTCCGCCCTTCTGGCGAAGCCCGCGGCGGACCAAAGCAGCGCCCACGCTGGCCCCGCCGACCATGCAGTCGAAATCTGAGTGTGAGGGGCATTCGGTAGGGAGCGAGACCCCGTTTTGGTTGTTGGTCGTCATGAAATCAAGATGTCCAGATGACTTCAGCAAAGTCGGAAAGAAGGTCTACGAGAGCGCTCTTATCCGCCACCGTGCCTTCGCAGGATGGGGCGTGGAAGGATGCCAAGTGCTGTCTGGCAGGGTCCCAGTAGTCTTCTCTGAGGGACACTTCCCGCCCTGCCTATCGCCGCAAACAGCCGCGTGCACCACACCTGCTCCTGGGGCTCCCTGGGCCGCCAAGACGCCCTCCTTGCGTTTTCCAAAGCGTCCAGAACGCCCAAAATGGCCTCCAAGACGGACACGGCAAGCCACTAAGGCCGCACAAATTGTCTCAGAGGCCTCCATTACGGTCTGAGATGGCTCAAGATGGCCTCAAGACGGGCCAAAGGCTTCCAAGACGGCCAAAGAGGGCTCCATTTGAGCCTCCAGCAAAACCCGAAGACACTAAAACCATGGATTTCCCATTGGTGTTTAAGGATTTTCGTGTTCTCGCCGTTTAGGGCTCAAGACAGCCCAAGAAGCCTCCAAAGACGGCCCAGGGGGGTACCAACAGGGCCCCAAGAGGGCCCAAAGACGGCCCAAGAGGGCGCCAAGATGGCTCAAGAGCAGCCCAAGAGGACCCCAAGTTGGCGCTCAGACGGCCCTCAAGGTCTCCTAGGAGAGCCCCAAGAGGACCTAGAGAGCCCCCGAAGATGGATTCTGAAAGCGCCCATACGGCCCAAGAGCGCCCTCAGACGGCCCAAGGAGCCCCCAGAGCCCCCGAGGCGCCCCCGAGGCGCTGCCAATACACCCCCAAAGGCCCCAAAGGACCCCTCAAGAGGCCCCGAGAACCTTCGAGAGGCCCGAAGTGTCACACTTGACGGCCGTCCGTGCCCCCTCGAATAGCGGCCACCCAACATGATGGACTGGCACGGTGGCGGGACTTGCAGCAGGCAGCTGGATATGTTTCGCGATAGCGGCCGTTACCAGCCCCAACCGCCCACATCCGCCCCCCAGGTATCGTCACGATTCGTGCTGACCTCCTGATTGGCTTTGGTTATTTCTAGACATAGCCCGACCGCGCCGGCGCAGCACGTGATGCCTGCCCCCCTCCCCCCGCGGGAACGCCCGTTACTGCCTGGAAAAAACCTTTCCAAGGAGCAAGGAGCCTCCCTCGTTCCAGCGTGCTGGCCGTAGCCCAAACTCATGACAGCCCTTCTGCTACTGGGAGGGAACCTCGGCAGGGAACTTCGGCGCAAAAGAAAGGCTGTCTGAATTACCAATTGAGACCGTCGTCTCGGCCTGGCTTGCCCCCCCGCCTCCACTCAGGCAGAGGAGGCCCGTAGAGACAAGAAGAGGTGGCTGCAGCATGGATATCTTGCCTGTGGCAGGCTAGCTCCAGCTGCGAGCTTCTGCAACGGCCGCCCGCAATCCTACTAGCGCTGGGGATGCGTCCCCAGATCGGTCCAGGAGCCCAGGGGCCCACTGCCGATAAAAGTCTCGCTCACCGGCCGCCGCCTCGCATTCATGGGATGGGAAAGCCGGCAAAGCCTGCAGAGCGCCACGCAGGGGACCTCCAACCAACCCATTGGGACCAACAGTCGGGGCCCAGCCGAGGCCTGGTTCCAGCCTGGGCCCAGCGGTGTCCCCGCGCGGGTGCCCCGCCGCCTGACGTGACAGAGGTCTGGGCGGCCAGCATGTCCTCCAGGCGCATGTTGTCGAGGGGGCACGTCGGCTTGACGCGGACCCAGCGGTCTATGCACTCCTGGGTGCCGGGGGACGAGGAGGAGGAGGAGGAGGAGGAGGAGGAGGAGGAGGAGGAGGAGGAGGAGGAGGAGGAGGAGGAGGAGGAGGAGGAGGAGGAGGAGGAGAGGAGGAGGGAGGAGGAGGGGGACGAGGAGGAGGAAGAGGAGGACGAGGCGGAGGAGGAGTGCATGGGCCCGCGCCCCGCACGGCGCGAAAGGCGCAGGCCCCTCTGATCGCGGCGCGAGGTGCCAGAGGCAGATCGTCGCCGCGCGCCTGCCCCCCACCGACTCTTCACGGCCTGTGCTGCGGGGGTGGCGACACGGCGCTGGACCATCGCCACGTCCCCGCCCAGAACGGCCCCGCTACCACACCCAAAGAACGAGAACCACACACAGAATCGGTCCAAACATAAACTTCGGAGAGGTCCCGCGGACTCCTCGGATCGGCGCTGGACCTTTTCTCTCTGCCGCGCGGGGCGCGCCAGGGGCGGGTCCTCCTCCTCCTCCTCCTCCTCCTCCTCCTCCTCCTCCTCCTCATTATCCTCCTCCTTTTGCTCCTCCTCCTCCTCCTCCTGATCCCTCTCCTCCTCCTCCTCTTCCTCATCCTCCTGATCCCTCTCCTCCTCCTCCTCCTCCTCCTCCTCTTCCTCCTCCTCCTCCTCCTCCTCCTCCTCATGATCCCTCTCCTCCTCCTCCTTCTCCTGATCCTCCTCCTCCTCCTCCTCCTCCTGCTCCTGCTCCTCCTCCTCTTCCTCCTCCTCCTCCTCCTCCTCCTCCTCTTCCTCCTCCTTCTCCTCCTCCTCATCCTCCTCCTCCTTCTTCTCCCCCTCGAGAACAGGGGTTGTGGAGCCCCGCGCTCTTTTCATATGGTTTTTCTTATCGAATGAAACGCTTCTCTGCCCTTCAATTGTGATAGATGGTTTGTCTTTGTTGTATTTCGCCGTGATCCTATTCCTTGTCGTTCTCCCTCTCTCTCTCTCTCTCTCTCCTTATCGCTCTCCTCCACCAACTCCTCCTCCTCTCTCTATACAGTTCCTTGTGTTTGGCCCTCCCTCCCCCCGAACCCAAAAAGCACACACACAAACAAAAAAAACGGCGGCGCGGCCGCCCATTTGTTTGTTTTATTTCGTTATGGGGGGGGGTCGCATTGAAAGAACTTATTGAAACCGTCCACCGACGGATTTCGGTTGAATCCGTCCACTGAAGGCTTGCTATTGAATCTGTCCGCCGAAGAATTTGGATTGAAATCCTCCACCGGAGGATTCCGACCTCCCGAAGAAAAATGGCAACACACACACACACACAACACATAAAAAACGGCGGCGCGGCCGCCATTTTTTTCTCGGGGGGTGGGGGGTCGGCGGCGGAAAAAAAGAAATCCGACGTGGCCCCATCTGCCCTCCCCCTAGAAGGATTCCTCTTGAACGCCCCCGCAAGAAGGATTCATAGTGAAATCCTCTGCAGAAGGATTCCGATCGAAACCCTCCACTGAAGGATTCCGATTGGAATCCTCCACAAGTGGATTCCTACCGAAATCACCCGCAGAAGGAGTGCTATTGAGATGCTTCGGACGAAAGAACCCCCCCGTTGGCATTGCATTGGCATTGGTTTGGCAATCGCTTGGCATCGCATTGGCATTGCGTTGGCACTGCGCTTGCATTTCGCAAGCAATGCGCTGGCGAGTCATCATGGAACGCTCCACCGAAGGACTCCGATCGAAACCCTCTACAAGAAGGACTCCTACTGAAACCCTCACCAAAAAGTGTTCATATTGACGCCCTCCACATAAGGATTCCATGCGAAGCCCTCCACAGAAGAATTCCGACTGAAATCTACCACAAAGGATGTCCCCCATTGGCACTGCATTGGCATTGGGTTGGGATCGCCTTGGCATTGGTTTGGCATTGCGTTGGCACTGCTTGGCATTGCGCTGGCGAGTTCCAATACACCCCTTCGCATAATGATTCCTATTGAACCCCCCACAAGAAGGATTCCGATTCAAACTTTCCACAAGAAAGGTTATATTGAACTCCCTCACGGAAGGATTCCATTCGAAACCCGCCATAAAAGGATTCCTATTGAACCCGACCACAAACGACTTCCCCCATTGGCATTGCATTGGCATTGGATTGGGATCGCCTTGGCATTGGTTTGGCATTGCGTTGGCACTGCGTTGGCATTGCGCTGACGAGTTCTAATGCCCCCCGCAGCAGAAGGATTTCTATGACAACCTTCCACAATAAGGGATCCTTTTGAAAGCCCCCACATACAGGATTCATAGTGAAACCCCCCACAGAAGGATTCCAATCGAAACCCTCCACAGGTAGGATTCCCTTTGGAATCTACAACAAAGGATGCCCCCCATTGGCATTGCGTTGGCATTGGATTGGGATCGCCTTGGCATCGGTTTGGCTTTGCATGGCACTGCTTTGGCATTGCGTTGGCATTGCGCTGGCGAGTCCTACTGGCTCCCTCCGCAGACGGACTCCTACTGAAACCCTCCACAAGATGGATTCCGGTTGAATCCTCCCACAAGGGAGGATTCCTAGCGAAACCATCCACAGGAGGATCCATATCGAAACCCTCCACAGAAGCATTCCTATTGAGATCCTCCGAAGAAGGCGCGGCGAGGGGCGGGATCAGCTCGGGGGGGAGCATCCAGCCAGAACTGGCGATACATCGCCGATGAATCGGCGACGGGCCCCCGACAGCAGATCCGCACGTTGCTGGGCGGGGTGGGCTGTCGGGCCCCTATCGGCGATGAATGGGCGATTGGGGGCGGGCGCGCCCCACCCGTGAGCCCGTCCCCCCGAGCGCTGCCCCTGACCTCCGCTATCCTTGCATCCTCGCCCCCGTATCTTGGCATGCCCGAAGTCCGAGATGGGCTCGAAAAAAAACGAGGCACGACGCACGAAACGGGCACGCCCGAGATGAGCAGGCGACGACTCCTCTCAATAACGTTCGCGGCGACGCTGGCCGCGAGCCCTGTTCAGAGTGGACAGGATTTACCCTCGATCTTCGTCACTATTCTGTCCGTACCCGTCTTGCTCACCCCGATCTTTCTCGTCGTCCTAGCCCTCGCCCCATCTCCGACTCCCCAACCTACGCCTGGGTCTCCTCGTGGAAGAGGTGCAGGCATGGCAGGCGCCGGCACCGCTCCTGGGGGGAGGGAGGGAGGAGGCAGCAGGAGAAGGAGGAGAAGGAGGAGGGGCAGCAGGAGCAGCACGAGGAGGGCATGTGATAAAATGCGAGCAGAAGTGATCGGAGGACCTATGAGCATTCAAAACTATAGTAATGTAGAAGGGAGGAGGAATAGGAGGAAGGCAGAGTAGGCCTAATCCCCCAGCCATTCAGGGGGGGAGTGGTTTAGATTAACCTTCGGGCAGGGGTTTACCCCCCCCATTGGACGAGGGGGGGGGAGCGGCAACCGATCAGAGCGTCCAAGATGGCCTCGGCGAAAAGCCAAAATAAAGGATGTTACCAAGGTCTTGGGAAGATGGTGGTCTCGTGCGGGGCGGGGTTAATTTGGTAGCACCCCCCTTTTTGATCGATCGCGTCCCAAATGGCCCGAAGATGGCCCCAGAGGCTCCCAAGGGTGCCCCAAGACAGCCCCAAGAGGGCCCCAGAAGGCGCCCAGGAGGCCCCAAGAGGCCCCAAAAAGTCCCAAGACGACCCCCAAGAGACTCTCCTGGGGCACCCAAGACGCTCAACGAGGCCCCTGGGGCCGCCAAGAGGCCCCCAAGACGCCACAAGAAGACCCCAAGAAACTCTCAAGATGAAGAAATTCCGAGAGGCATCCAAGAGGACTCTGCCTTTTCTGCTGCAAAGTTAACCGGACACTCGCGACGAAGATAGGGCTGTGGTATGCAATGCGCTGTCAGCGCTGAAGGTGCACACACACACACACACACACACACCCCGACGGTTGACGGCGGTTATAGTTCTTGAGCCAAGCCCCAGCGGTTGCGCAGCAACCTGGTGTCCTGCATTGACAACCCCTTCGACCTGGCGGTCCAGGCTGGGTCGGCTGCGCGCACTGGTGAAAACCGGACCTAACTCGACACCGCAAAAGCGTTAATGTATGGGTTGTGTTGGCGAATGGCAGACATGGGGTCCAGACTAGTGCGCAGAATGGTTAGGTCGTCTTGAAGACAACGCGAGAACTAAAAAAGCTGAACTCGGTAATGCGCGCCGCTTAAATGACGGGGCAACGCAAGAGGTGACTGACAGGATGGCGGGATCTCCTCACAACCTAGGTTAATCACGCGACACAGTCCTTGGAGAGAAAGGAGGTCGGAAAACTATCAATGGGTGATGTCACTCAGGGCCTCATGGGCCTGACGGGTTTTGACCTTTCCCGCTTCCGTTTGACCTGGGCCTTGCCCATCTCGGCGCGCGCGAACTCCTCCTCGGGGTTGCGCTTCCTGCTGCACATGCGCGCCAGCGCGTCGTGTTCCACGTAGCAGTTGCCATTCTGGGCGTCCTCCTCCTCCAGCCCGAACCAGTGTTTTCAGAGCTCCAGAAGTCGGTCTTGAAGGGCTTGAGAACTGAGAACTCCTCCTCCTCCTCCTCCGTAGCCATTTGGGCTCAAGACTTGCTGTGTTTTCTGCATGCACTTGCCTCACACGCCTCTCCCTGTGCCCACAGGAAGATTAGCCGCGCCTCGCAGCGTGCCTGGCGGGCTGGACGGCCCGATCCCAGTGAAGGCCGCTTTCACGCAGGCGCTCGACGCGGTGCTGGAATCGGGCGTGCGGCGGGCCATGCAGGGCCATCTGCTGCGCTGCGCAGCGGAGGCGGCGGCTCGCGAGGCTGCGAGCGCCAGCCCAGGTCGCTCGCGCTCGGCCCCGCGCGCCGCCTGCGAGGTCCTCGGCGGCTCCGAGGGCACGCTGAGGTTGGGCGGCGTCGCCCTCGGCCTGCCTGGCAAGGCCACGTCCGAGGACATCCGGAAGCAGCTGGCCCAGCACGGGCACATTGAGCTCAGCAGGGAGCGGGAGGCGCATCGTGCAGGACGCCGTGTGCTCGCACATCCTGGCGCTGGGGATTTGACCGCTCGGGTCTTCGCGGCGCTGGCCGAAGCCGGGCGCGACGACCTGTCCAGTTTGGGCGGCGGAGCCTCTGAGGTGCACGTCGGCTCGGAAGACGATATTCAGCCTGGGGCGGAGGAGGCGAAGCCGAAGGACACCTTCGCGACGGCCGCTTCTGCCCATTGTCGGGGTGCTGGCGCGCTTCCTGGAGAGGGCCCCGTGGCTGGCGGACCTGCGTCCGCGTCGACGCAGGCGCCCTTGGCGGAGGACCTCATGCCCGACAGGCTCCAGGCGCTGGAGTTGCAACTCGGGCGTCTCCGGGCGATCGTGGAGGCACAGCGTATAGAGGGCAAGGTGGAGTGCTACACCACAGGCTCGGACTGCGACCTGGGCGATGCCACGGACTCGGCGCGGGGCACGGCCAAGGAGGCTGCCATGGCGCTCGGGTCCGACGGTATCCCGTCCGAGGCCGACCCACGCGAGCGGATGGAGCCGAACCAGTTGCCCCGCGAGCGCTGGGCCGACGAGCTGTGCGACGACTGCGACCTCTGCGCCGATTCACCCGACAAGGAGCAGATGCCGCTCGAGCACGCTGATCTACCTGGGCCTGATCACCTCATGCAGCGAGATGCACAGCTTCCCGGCGATGGCGTCCCTCCTGTCGGTGCTGATGGTGATTTGGGCGTCCACCATGCCGATGCTCTCCCTGAGTGCGGCCGCGCGGGGCGCCCCCCGACCGCCGCCGGCGTCCAGGAGGCGCGTTGCTCTGGAGGCGTCGACAAGGCCGAGAAGGGTGCTCGTCATGAAGGCGCTGGTCGCGGTGTGAAGGCGGGCTCTCGATTCGTGGTGGCTACCTCCTTCGTGCCGCTGAGCGCCTACGACTCCTTCGGCAAGTGCGGGATGCCGCGTGCGGTCGTCGGACAGCGAGGCGTGGTCGATACCGTCTTCGAAGGTCACGGCGACTATGTGGATGGCACGCTGCTGATCAATTGGGCTGGACGGCCCCGACTGGAAAGCGCGGGCTGCGTGGCTTAGCGATCGTGCCGTCGGACGCGCGGCAGTGCCTCGACTTCGAAGCGCGTTGCCTGATGCCGAGAGCTCGTTGTTGATTTCTGCCGTGCGTCCCTCCTCTTCGTCCTCCTCTCTGGGCCGTCTGGGGCGGTCGTTTGGGGGGTGAGGTGGCCCGCGTGGCCCCTCTGGAGCGGGGGGGGAATGGGGGGGAGGGGCCCAAGAAAACGGAGAGGGCAGCTGGGGAAAGGGGTCCAAGAATCGAGGGGGAGGGGGGGGGGGGGGGCGCGCGCGCGGGAAGGGGGCCCAAGAATCGAAGGGAGGGGGGGGGGGGGGGGGGGGGGCTCAAGCGAGGACGGAAGGGGGTGGTCGAGCGGGGGGGGGAGGGGGGGCCAAGGAGGAAGCTCGAGCGGGGACGGAGGGGGGTCGAGCTCCGGGGGTGGGGGGGGGGGGGGAAGAAACCGGGAAGGGCTGCGGGGGGGGATCCAAGAATCGAGGAGGGGGGGGGGGTTCGAGCGAGGACGGGGAGGGGGGTCGAGCTCAAGCGAGGGGGCGGGGGTCCAAGGAGGAAGGGGACGGGGGAGGGGGGTCGAGCTCGAGCGGGGGGGTGGGGGTCCAAGAAACCGAGGAGGGCAGCGGGGGGGGGTCCAAGAATCGAGGGGGGCGGGGGGGAGCTCGAGCGAGGACGGGGGGGGTCGAGCTCAAGCGGGGAGGGGGGGTCCAACGTCGCCGTCGTCGTCGTCGTCGTCGTCGTCATCGTCGTCATCGACGTCGTCGTCGTCGTCGTTGTCCTCGTCGTCGTCGTCGTCGTCGACGTCGTCGTCGTCGCCGGTCATCGTCGCCATCATCGTCCGTCGTTGACCCGGTCGTCGGTTGTCGTCGTCTTCATCGTCCGTCCCCACGCGTATCGGGAGCGCCCCGGATCGACGGCACTGGCCGGAGGCCATTACAATAATGCCTGATGTTTGGTTATCTTCCATTCCGTTGATATTATACCCTGAGCCTGTGCATCTCGCTGAAGTAGTTGTTCTCGCGCGCTCCCCATATCTCCTCTGCCAGCCTCTTCTCCCTTGCGACTTCCAAATCTGACCTGCGCTTCCGCAGCGCATCTTGCACCCGTTCCGGCTCTTCCTCGATCTCCCCCAGTCTTTCCTGCGAGTCTGACTCCGCCATGTCCACTCTCTATTTCATCCTTCCTGCCAGTAGGGAGTGCCTCAGTAGCTGGCAGGCTGCCACCCCCTTGCCCTCCTGCTTCTTCTTGGCTGGGAATAATTAGTTCACTGCTTTTCTACCTACATCGCTCCACGTCTTCCACATCTGATCTGCTGTAGGTCGGTCCTGAAATCCTCGCCATCACCCCTCTGCCGTTCGCTCCCCAGGGTTCGTACTCCGAGGTAACCTCGCTAACGTTCCTTCTGGGAGCTCGGCAGATCCCTCCTGGAACGCACTCCGGGATGACCTCGCTAATACTTCCCCTGGAGGCTCGGCAGAAACCGCCTGGATCGCACTCCGAAATGACCCCGCGAATGGTTATCGTGGCTGCTGGGGCGTAGTAGTCTTCAGATGGCGATTGAAAGCACCCAATAATTCCGCCCTCATACGTCCTTTCCTCAGGCACTATATCAGCAAGTTGCGGTCCACATCTTTGTCTGCCCGTTGCTGTCTGCGCTTGCCCGAAAAGCGAGACTTGTGTTCCAGTCCGATGTCGATGCCCAAAAGAATCGGGTATCTGTGCCCTCGCGCATTGATTTCCGGCAACTGTTATGCCAATCCCCTCAACGAAGCGCATCTTCGCATGCGTGGTAAAGACCCCGTCGGTATCGTTGTTTGATCGGCTTTGCTCGTCCGTATCTCGCCGTCTTTGACGCAGTAGTAAGTTGGTCCACAGTCGAAGAAGGCGGTGACTACTGAGAACAAGCTGTGAACACACAACTCCCTGAAAGCGGCACCGTCGTCGCTCTCCACCCCTTTAGCCGCCGGCCCCAATGCCACTGCATATGTGCTCGAGCTGTGTCTGCTTACCACCAAGTCCCTGTTGTCCGCCCTGCGCATTCCCAGTTGGCCGTTGGTTCCCCCTTTCCCACGATGATAATAGATGTCCCCCCTGTGTCGCCACACTTTTCTTCC